TATGGCAGAATCTCGATCTGAAAATGTCGTCTGTTCGTTCGGGTGTCAAGTTCGAATATGGCTTTGTGCACATTTAGCCGTTAATAGACCTATCAAGGTTCTAATACCTTCACCATATCTTTGACGGAGAAGTCTGACAAGACGGAATAACTCTGGATAATCGAAGTCTCCATTGGCTTGATTGTTTTTCCATAAAATCACTGAAAAATATGTTAAAATAGAAAGATATAATACATTTGAGTTCAAAACCATATACATGCAAACTTTCTAACAAAACTTTTATGCAAAACGACGTGATATGGTAAGGACTTAATTGTTTTCAACTTAAAAAAAAAACACATTTTACTCGTGGACCGGCTATGCCTAATATTTCTTAGAAATATTTAGGATTGATCATTTCCTTCTTTAGATCAGTAACAGCTAAACCGAAATAAGATGGCCGTGTAAGCGTAGACAGTTAAACATAAACAAACTGTAATTGTGCACAGCCATGACGGTATAGACTGCAACCTCGCAATAATAATTTATCTTTCCAAAGGGGAAACACTTTTAACTTTTTAAATTTTTTGTTTTACTGATCGTGTAGTTGCCGTAGGGGGTGATGGGGGCTAATTAAAAGATGTGGTAAGTAATCATTTTTCTGGAATATTAAAAACAAATTTTACCGATAAGTTAGCCGGGCATATTTTGTTTATTAACCGATTTTATTCGATATTGACGCAGTACTCGACGAGTAAATAGAATAGTAAAATAAAACGTGACTTTATTTAACAAGGTGCTAAGACAACAGTGACAGCGTATTTTTGGAAAATTGAATAACGTTGTCAAGAACAAAGTATACTCCGAGCAGAACGTTTATAGAACATTCGTTCGCATGTTACCTCCAATGAGTTGTTCTCTCCAATATTCGATAAGGGGGTAAATCGATGCGAAATCGTTTGGCGGTTACGAATATCTTAGTTAAAATTTTTGGTAGTCATTAATTCTGCCAAAAACCTAAACAAACTGTAAGCACAAAACTGGTGGGAGTAGTAAAAAGTAAAGTAAAACAAAAAATTTAAAAAGTTAAAAGTGTTTCCCCTTTGGAAAGATAAATTATTATTGCGAGGTTGCAGTCTATACCGTCATGGCTGTGCACAATTACAGTTTGTTTATGTTTAACTGTCTACGCTTACACGGCCATCTTATTTCGGTTTAGCTGTTACTGATCTAAAGAAGGAAATGATCAATCCTAAATATGATTATCATGATGGCAATGAATTGGCCGGACAAATATTAATTTTTTAATGGGGGATACTCGTGTAAAACGCTGTTTTTTCAAGAATTTTTTACAAGAAAACGAGAACATTTATTTAATCACAGTAAAGTACATAATAATATTGACGTTGAAATCTACAAGAAAAAATTTTTTATTGTTGAAAAAAAGAAAATGACGGCGCTGTAGCTGTTTAAACTTGGCTCCTACGATTTGTGCCGGGGAACGCCCAGGTTCTTGTAGTTGAGTAAAATTAATAAACTAAAATTTTCTGATTAAAATAAATTCTTCCGCTCAGCATGAACCTAAATATAGCAAAAAAAAATGAAAAATTGTGGACGTTTCGAAAAAAGTTACCTATTTTTTTTATAAATAAATTGTGAAAAAGCATATATATGTATAATTGTTATTTTATAGATTTTTTAGGTTAATGCTAAAGCGTTAATATTGCTAATGCCTTAGCATTGCTAATACTAATGCGTTAAAAAATATCTGTGCCAAATTTCAAGTAAATCGGCCTATTACTTTTTGAGTTACATTCTCCGGCGCGGAAAAACTTACGTTTTGAGAAAATTGCGTTTAAAGTTTTTGGACTTACCTGCTTTCGCTTTTGTATGTACCTAAGTTCGTTCAGCGCGTATTAAGCGCATCACTTTGATGACTTCTCAAAGACCTTTAGAATTCTTTTTTGGGTTTAAAACTTCGGGAATACATTCTTCAGAAGGTAAATCAATTTTTTAGGCAATAATTAAAAAAATGCAAAAAACAATTTTACACGAGTCTCCCCCCTTAAATAAGAACATTCCGTGAGATCTTAATCGACGTAGAACCGTTTGGTGGTTACAAATAGACTGGTTAAATTGTTTGATGATTATTAGTTCTGCCCAAAACTTTGAAAGAATATTAGGGCAATACAAGTGAGGATTGATCAGACAATGGCGTCGAGTTTACCGGACAAATTTGTATTTTATGAGTAGTACGAAAATTCTATGATGTCTTGATCGAAGCATAATTGTTTGGCAATGATTGGTGGTGTAACTGAAAAACGTTGCTGATTAATTGTTTCGGCTTGCAACATTGACTACGTTTATTTTGTTTTTAAATCTTACATGTGATTGGTTCATCCTCTCTAAAACCCCGCAAGTGTAAATTTAATTATTAAAAAATTTGTGTGCGTTAACCTCACCCAGGGACGAGAGCTCTGATTGGCCGAACAATGGATACAGGGGCAAGCAAGTGTCAGTTAGGTCCCAGTCACACTCATCAAACGCGCGTTTGAACCACTGAACTATATTCATAGAATGCGCACACAGTAGTAAAAGCGCGAGTCGAGAGAGATAGCATTCTTATAGTGGGATACATCTTTTTCTAAGCGTTTTAGTAATTGAGGTTTCTAGTCTTGGCGTCTCGTTTCCATAGATACCGTACAATCAGAAGCGTACATACTACCTGACCATCTATAATCTGGCACATCTCCTCATTGGAGGAGTCAGCCATAAGGAAAGGAAGGAAAGGACCACCTATAATCTCTGCATATGGCTTGACAAACAGAGTTGAGTCGAACGGTAGTGCGATGGAAACGCCAAACTCAATTTTAGACCTAACCCTACGAATGATGCCAGGTTGGGCGAAATCAGGTTTGGTGGAAACGTGCATCTGGAGTCACCTCCGCAAAGTTAGCCGGGCAACTTCGACTTATTGAATTTCTGTACTTGCACATCGATTGTCATTTGTTATTGATTGTTAGACTAATTAAAACATTTGTTAGATAATAGTTTTTTTGCAATAACGAAAATAAATTTTAGTGTTAAGTTAGCCGAAAAATATTGATTTCGGCACAGTTTTTGTTTCGAAACGGGTGCATTCGATGTGGAATCGTTTGTTAGTCCCAAATAAACTAATTAAAACATTTGTTAGATGACGATTTCGCTTAAAATAGCGAAAAACCATCTACCGTCTGGCTGGCCGGGGTGGGGGTAAGGCATGGAATATGCGATATGAAGATAGCCGGAAATATAATTATTCTTCACAGTTTTCGTTTCGAAACAGTTGCAATCGATGTGGAATCGTTTGTTAGTCCCGAATAAACTAATAAAAACATTTGTTAGGTTAGGTTAGGTTAGGTTAGATTAGCTAAGAATTCCAATGCTGTCACACCCCAAGCTATTATTATTTTTTTTTTAAAAAAAAACATTAGCTTGCAGTTTTGACCTCTTAATTATATTTCCGGCCATCTTCACATCGCATATTCCATACCTTACCCCAACTCCCGGTCAGCCAGACGGCAGACGGTTTTTCGCTATTTTAGGTGAAACCGTGATATAACAAATGTTTTTATTTGTATATTTGGGACTAACAAACGATTCCACATCGAATGCACCCGTTTCGAAACAAAAACTGTGAAAAAATCAATATTTTTCGGCTAACTTAACACTAAAATTTATTTTCGTTATTGCAAAAAAAAACTATTATCTAACAAATGTTTTAATTAGTCTAACAATTAATAACAAATGACTAACAATCGATGTGCAAGTACAGAAATTCGATAAGTCGAAGTTGCCCGGCTAACTTTACGGAGGTTCTGGGGTCGAACTGGAGTTGTAAGCGGTGCTGCCAACTATGTAGTACAAACAGTTTGAAATGTTTTAAAAGATTCTACTGGATCCCACATGCGGATCTTGTGGATTTATAACGTTAGTTGAAAAGATGAATGAAGAAGATGCAAATAAATATATTCAACCAAAGAAGAGAAACATTTGTGAAGTGCATGAAACAATGTGTTGTTGGTATAGCTGATATTTCAACTCACTCCCATCAACTCTACTTGAACTCTGCCTAGCGGTGGAAACGGCTGAAGGTAGAAAAACTGGCCTCTATTTCAGCTCTATTTGAGCTTGACTCTGTGTCTGTCGCAGAGTTGAAACAGAGTTAACCAATCAAGTTAGCTTATTCCGCTTAAATCTCGTTTTTAATTGGTTAACTCTATTTCAACACTGCACGGTGGAAACTAAGCCTATGTTTCCATCATGCAGGGTTGAAATAGAGTTAACCAATCAAGTTAGCTTGTTCCGCTCAAATCTTGTTTTTAATTGGTTAATTCTATTTCAACCCTGCACGTGGAAACTATCGTTGTCGTCCAAGACGTCACCGGGTGTTTTCCATTTACATGACTTTTGTTTCGACTTGTGTCAACTTGTGCCAATAAATGGAAAGCACCCACCAAAATCGTAGAGACTTAGTAAACGCTCGGTTTTAAAAACGATTTTCTCCTTCTTGATTGGAGAATCCAATGGAATTAGGTAAATAGACAATTGAAGATCTTATTGCTTATTTCTTCCGTGTTACGTATTCCATTGCATCATGCATTGCATTATAGAATGGCCATAATATTTTTGAGGTATGATATACTCACAAAAATGGTGAAATCGTGTTATATTAAGTCGTGTAACTAAGAGTGGCGACTCAACAGCACCATTTCCTTTCACAGGTAATTTGCGTTATAATATTATACAGAAAATAGTCGCACTTTGTTGTGATCGAACAAGTTATCTATTTATGATACTTTCAACTTATGCTTCTAAACGTATATTTCTTACTTTACCACTTATTTACGGACGTTACGTTGTTTACGTAGCCGCCGAAATTCATTTAATTGTACCGCGTCAAAAAAATTACGAAAATTCCTGGTTCGGGACGTCGGACGTCTTTATACGGCCCTGAAAAAACAAAAGGTCATCCACTATATCAGCCATCTCTCTCGGCCTGCACTTTCCTACTGTGTGCGCGCTCCATGTTGGGTATAGCTCATGCTGCTCAGTGTTAATAATACATCCTTGATACACAATACACTAAAAAATAAGAAAAGCAATCTGTTTATGGTATTGAACACCTGCTCATTACATCTGCGTGTCGTTTATGTATGTATACTTAATTAATATCTCAAATAATGCAGTAATGGATATATTTTTGTAGCATATATTTTTTTAATATTAATTACATAAATTCGAGAGTATTGAGAGAGAATCCTCATTACTCTTCACATTAAGTATGATTGTATATGATAAATAGTAATTTTCAAAAGAAAACGTAAATGTATTATAGATTTGTATGATGTAATGTCTTTATCGTATTCCAATTCATGTAACATACTTTAATATTTCTTATGCACATTTATCTTTGGATTACAAATATTAGATTTGTTTAGGCCTAATTCCACAAACACAGTTTATTATTTAAACGTTTTTAATCTATAAATGCAAATGTCTGATTGGTTAATAGAAAGTTAAATTGAGTTTTAACAATAGACCATATTTGTGGAACTAGGTCCTATGGCCAGTTTTTTCACCTTCAATTAAAATTTAACCTGCAGACAAAACGCTAAAACATGAAAATTATTGGTTAGGTGAGGATTTATCTACATGTTAAATTTTTACGAAAGATGAAGAAACTGGCCATTAATGTTTTACTTAGAGTAAAACTATTACCATATATTTTAATATTACCATGGAAGGTATGTGTAATGGTGTAACTTATTTGAAACTGGAGAGTTTACTTATTTTAGCTCTGAAACACAATGGCTTGCCATAAAATATAAGACATAGGATATTCTTTTAAGTTTTTCAATTCGTGTGGTTTTTCTTTTTTTATAATACTGACTTGTTGCTTATTATAAGGGGTTTAACACGTTGGCTGCAATGACAAATTTCTTACGACGTAATTTATATGGACCCACAGCAATCAACATATTTATTAATTTCAAGCAATTGTTTTTTTTTAATGAAAATGGAAAGTGAACATGGCAAGTAAAGAACGAAAGTGTAGTCTGACTTGTATTCTATTTGTTGTTAATTTCTGTTGTCATGGATACATTTGGTTTTCCCTAAGACTTGGTTTTATTTATATCAGTTAAAATTTAACTTATTGTTAGTTAAGTGTCTCAATGCAGATATAAGATTGATCAATGTTGCACTGAAATCTCAGTTTGTTTTTTACTAATATCGATGAAATAAATTCTAAATCTGTCTATTTCAAATAAAAATTAATATATTATTCTTTATTTTGTTGTAACACTTTTCCACCTATTTGATAATCGTAATATGGATGTAATCTCATGGATGTAAATGGTCAATGCTGTTTTATTACATTTGAAAATTTCACTGCATTGTTTTTCCTTCAAGTAGAAGAATATATGCCCATGAAATTTATGAGACATGCCTTAATATATGCTCCCTTCAATCTTCATCCTTTAAAAAAAGAAATTAGGTAAAATGCATATATTCACACAAATGAATACAGTATTCTTATTTATTTCAATTCTAGAGATACAGAGGATTTAATACTGTCATAAAAACTTGTACTATAATGGGTTCTTCTGAAGAATGGGATGTTGAACAGCATAAAATGGAACATGAATGTGATGAACATTGGGAACTTAGACGAAAATTTCTGCTTGCACATCGTGACAAATTTACGGAAGAAGAATTACTCTGTCTAGCACAAGTGTTTACTAATGTGGAATTCCTAGGCTGTCGGTAAGATATTTTTAAATATTTACAAGACGAGAAGCATTCATAATGTGTTACGTTTTTATCGAAGTTGAGCCATCATGTTAGAACTAAAGAATAGTACTACAGTACAAGAATATGGTATATTCTTGAAAAATCTAATTTATTTCATAAGAGTTTACAGCGAAATAATATTATAATGCCATTGAAAATAGATACTATTAAATTATATTCGTATGTCATATACTAATTACAAAGTAACGTACATTATATGGTAATACTGATATATTATTAATGCAATAAGATTCGTATGTCTAAAACATATATGCACTTTGTTAGCTTCACATTCTCAATAGAGTTGTAGTGCGCTTATCGGAAATGTCAAATTCACAGTGGTATTCTGTATCATCTATTTGAGATTACACTAGGTGTGTAATTACAATAATTTGTGAAGATTGTTTTCTTTAAATTGTAATTTTTATTTTCTAAAGTTTCTATGTTTAATATTTGAATAATCAATCTTAAATGTTTACAAAATAAGATTATTATAAAATATGTAACCCTTTCCTACACTCTATGTAAAGTAGGCTAACCCTCTATATCCCTCAGGCACTGACAATGTCTGACCTATAGACCACTGCGCGTAAAAGATGAAGTATAAAGTGTTAATACTACTTGATTTGAATTGTAATATTTTTCCAAGCTTACTTTTAGTGAAATCATTATTACTTTTATCTTCAGTTATCCAGAAGAAACAATGCAGATGATAGCGGAATTATCTCAAGATGTGGCAAAGGACTACAGAGAAAAGCAAAAGACAAAGTTACAAAGAACATTTGTCAAAGCTTCGGATGCTGCCAGTGCAAAGGTCAAAGGTAGATCTAAAAATTGTGAGTTTATGCTAAATAGAGCAATGGTGATAAAATTATGTTTAAAATTTACTAGGAAACTGTACTTCTATTTAAATTATTTTTATTGGTTTTTAATTGTAGGATTTAATAAATATTCAGGCAGTTCAGGAAGTACAACAAATTCAAGTATAAAAGATTGTATCTCCTCATCTAAAAAATGTCGACGGACATCCCTTACGACACAGCCTATTAAAAAAATGAAATGGAATTCTGGTAAATTTGGAAACATCGTATTGGTGGAACATGGAGACAGTGCACCTCAAAGTATTATTATGAATGCTGTTACTGCAAGTGGAAGTAATCTAGAGTGGAAGTATGATAAAAGCGAAAGTGGGTGGTTAGTAGTTATTACATTTCTTTGTACATTCTGAATTTATTATAAATATGAATGTATATCTGATCTTAAATAGGGTACTGAAATTTTTGATTTTCACAAGGCATTTCGTGAATAGTTATCTTAGATAATAATCGCTTGTATAACAGTCCATCGTACACATGCGAATTTATATGTATTATACCAGGACAGATTATAGTCCTATTTAAGGCAAATGTCTGCTATATAATGATTTGGTTCAAGATATCGTAAATTATATAGTAATGATAATGCATGGGTAATTTTAAACGGCAATAGACATATGATCACATTTGTTTGTGTATCTGTCACCATCGTTCTGATTATCCTATTGGTATGTTGTTCATTGTCTGTACTTTATTCCAATTTAGACGATGGCTTATGAAATTTGTAAATCTGAATACTTGAAGGATAAATACATTTGTGCTTGCAGGTTTATATAAATAGTAGCGTATTTTTCATTTCCTTGACATGAAAATTATCATTGAGCATCTCTGTTCAATGCTTTTATAAATAATGAACTTTTAGTACATTTGAGATAATGATTTGATAATGGGTTCTTAATATATACTTGGGACGTGATTTCATTTTTGTGTTTAAGGGTCTCTTAAATTCTAAAGTATAACGAAGTTAGTTTCTGCTAGTTTTTTGGCAGATCCAAACTATTGAAGTTCGCTGGCAAGGCACACGTGTCACTGGATAAAATGTTTGTTACAAAGTATCCACGTGCATGATTTTATACAAAATATCTTTTATTTATCTATTTTAGCATAAGTATATATACATTATTTCATGGAAAACCGGATGTGATTGCTAAGGATTGCATTGCCTGCAACTGTCAAAACACACATTAAAGTCGTAAACCGACTATATACCACAGAAAAAAATAGACTCAATTATATAATATTTAAGATGCACATGACTACTATGACTATGTATGTATTGTAGTATAATATAGTCATAGGAAGTACTGTGTACTTATCGTGGATGATTCGATTTAGACTTAGCGTAGAAAAATGAATGTGCTTTTTCCACAACAATTAACATGTAAACAATTTACTCTTACTATAAATAATTTCACTTTTTTTAGCACCTGCAAAATTTACATTAACACAAAGTTTTTGTCAGAAGGATGTGGTTGCAATCAAAAAGCGGCAAAAAAAGAAGCTGCCATTGCGGGTTTGAATGAATTACGAAAGTTTCATTATACAATCAAGGTACCAAATCATTGTAGTTTATATAATATACTCAATAAGTGTTTCCCTTTTAAAGTAATAACATACTTTTAATGATTTAAGATAACGTTATTCTGTGATAACTACGTTATGCATTGACATTCAAAATATGAAAAATGCACTAGCGTTAAATTAACAAAAATTTTATTCATTTTATTGCAACTACATAGTTATGTATAAGTCTGATATGCATTTCAGTTCATTTGATTTAAATCCAAATTGAAAACAGGCTGTCTTACTATTCTCATAAACAGAAGATACCTGACTATACGTATTTATTTAGTCTATTATTATTCTGCACGCTGATTTTATAATAAATTCTAATGAATGCCTTCATAAATTGTTCCTCCCAGTGTGCTTCAGGAACAATTAATATGTGACGTTACTTTTTAAGGGGCTATCTACAATGAGACGTAACCGTAAGACGGATGACGGAACTCGTTGTCGGAAGACGGAACGTGCGTTCCACAATGAGACGTTGTTGTAAGCATTAGACGGAAGCGTTAGTCGTTGTCGTTGTCGTTTTGCCGGAGACGGGGCAGTGTTCCGACTTCGTTCCGACATGAATCCACAATGTCGTTACCGTAACGCGTATCACTTCGATTCCGCAGCTAATTAGAATACAGAATGTTTTGTGACAGTAGGCGGTGTGTTTACAAGAAAGCACGTCAAACATGAACGCCGACACTTTGGCAGTCTTTGGCTCGTATTTGATTCTGCTGGGTGCATGGAGTAATGTGTTGTTTTTGGGCTAGCCCAAAAACATCAAAACACGCCATGATTTCACATGAGTTGTACCTCCGCCGTGCACGTGAACGTTGTCGGAAGATGGAAGAGATGGGAGTTGATCATCTCTCTTACGACAGCCGACTACGACATCCGTCAAATGACTTCATTGTGGAATGCACGTTTCGTCTTCCGACAACGACTCCCGTCACTCGTCTTACGGTTACATCTCATTGTAAATATCTCTTTAAATGCACTAGGTTAAGAAAATGATGGGTCATAATAGCGAATCAACAATAAGCAGTAAAATGTTGAATACTGAATCTGTAGAAGATCATCGAATTCCTGATGATAATATTGGGATGAAACTAATGAAACTGATGGGTTGGTCGGGTGGCGGACTTGGAAAGGAACAACAAGGCATTGCTGAGCCTATCATGTAAGTACATGATTTTATTAATGTTTCGTTATCTAAATCACAAGTTTATTACCAGCCCCGATTATAATATTTAATCATATTGATATTAACATACTAACATGACGCAATATCCAAATAGATCGTTTTAATGATAATGTTTTATTATCTTCTTCTTCTTGATCCTTTTGGCTTTATGCCCTCATAGAGGGCCAAGTTCCAAGATCTTTTATTGTCCCATTACTTCGATAATACAAGAGTTATATCGTAATTTTTACTCTAATACTAAAGAGTTTTCTCAATACAATATGTTGATTGTAACCATTTTTTAAATAATTCTTCTTGTTTAATCATTTTAAAATAATTTATATGTACAGAGTACGACAACAAATAAGCAGAAAGGGGTTTGGATTGCAAGACAGCTCACCTAATATTTTGCAAACCCTTCAAAAAAAGTGTCGACAAACATTGAAAGAATATAAGGCTGGTGACATGAGAACAGATTTAGTGTTCTCGGCCGATTTTACAAATGACGAAAGAGCCGTTATACACAGGTAAATGACATCAGATTCTTCTAATCTTAGATTGTTTTATTTGTGGGTGTTTCAATATACCTTCCACGCATATCTTGCGTCTCAAAAAATATACATAATTCATTCTTTTTACAAAGTATGTATATTTTTTTTTATAACTGTACATTATAACTGCATGTGGACAAAATAAGATATCTCGTTTATATCACTACGGACTAATTAAATCGAAATAATTAAAGGTTTAGTGGTTACTCGATTATTTCTACATTATAACGCAACAATTACATGTATATGCTGCTCTTAAGTAAATTTTATATCTATGAAATGAAAGCATAGATTAAGAATTCAACTATGAGATTTTACTTAAAATTGACAACACTTAGGTTTTTTTTCTACTGAAACTTCTAGTTACGTATCTAACGGATAACCTTACTCAATACTGGAAGGTATTTTCCGCATAACGCTGTCAGGAACTTATTGGGAAGTGAAGAAACTGGCCACTAGTGCGAAAATGAAGCTTCAAGGGACCGTCGTACTTTATTTGATTTGTATAGCAGATTCATCTTCAAAGGGTGTAATACTCCTGAATAACCCTTTTATGTACATGTACCATAGACCTATAATATACAGACAGTTGTATTAAGTTTGATAATATTGCATTCATCGACTTCAACTTCGCGAAATATTTTTTTCTAATTAACGTTTGGCAGATTTTGGAAATTTAAAAATAATAGTTGATTATTATCAAAAAATTGTTGATTTATTAAAAAAATTTTTTCTCTGAACACTAGATTTACGGGGCAAAACAGTGAAAATATAAACCAGCTAAGTTGAAAAATGGAAAAACTTTTTATAAAGTTATGAAAATGTATACTGCTATTGGGACAATAATATAGTAGAACCCCATTGTTGGAAGCATCTTGGGACCGGTAAGTCCCTATAACGAGCATGCGCAGGGCTCGTCCACCGAGTATTTACACATAGCATGAACATTACGATCCCCGTACGATCATTGAAATGACGGTTGGCGTAATACAACTAACAACAATGTGCATGGTTAAACATCCCTATCGCTCGTAGTGAACATTAAGCGGTGGGGGTTAGGTGGCAAGAATCGAGTTCCCGGTAACAGAGTTCTACTGTATATGATAAATGGTTATTTGCTTTTAATCTACAGTAAATATTAATACCATTGGCATGGCAACATGATCTCTTTATGCGACAGGGTGAGAAATTATAGGGCAATAATTAAATAATCCTGTATATATGTGAAAAACAAATGTATTGCCCATTCAATTTATGGTCGTTTCATCCATAGTTTGCACAATACGGAGTTTTCGGTATAAATGCTACAGTCTTTCAAAATTCTAATAATTCTTTATATTGTAGTTTCATAAGGATACTTGACAAAATGAAACAATGAGATGTTAGTTTCTAATTTAGGAACAGCAGACAACGCTAATTCTTAATTAACAGCGCATTCGTTCATTTTCTGATTAATTCCGATAAAATTACTATGGAAAAAATATAGTCATAAGAATATGGTGCTAATGCGTTTGAGTCAAACTTTTCCACCAAATTTGAGTATTTTTCGTTTTTCATACGGCGTGAAGCTAATCACTTGATAGACCCCTTAACGTAGTATTATAATTACAGTAAGTTGTAGTATTTCCCATAAATCTTACCGCGTGTATTGTTTAATTGATTAAATATACTATGTATATTAAACAATATACTATATACTATAATAATACAATATACTATATTAAACAATATCTTAAATCAGAGAAAAACCAATATTAATATTTGAGCCGTTCAGTGCACACATCGATTAACTCCATAAAACAAAAAGTTGAGAAATGCGATGAAGTAATGTATATTGTAAATTACTTATTATTCAATGGCCAAAACAATTGTGCCGTTTAATGGTGCTAATCTTTATTATTCAGGAAAGTTATTATAAATATAAAAAGTTATGACTATACCAAGTGCTTTGACACTTAAATTTAAGATTTTTCAAAAAGCAGAGTTAATCGATGTGTGTACTGAGTGGCTCATTTATGTCTCCGTAGTTGTCAACTTTTCTATCTTTTTAAAAATAATTTTACTGTATTTTATTCTTTCAGAGTAGCAAGAGAGTTTGGATTAAAATCAAACAGTTATGGACCAAAAGATCAACGGACTCTTATTGTATCTCGCAAGATTGATCCATGGGAGCTTGTCGATGAATTGAAGACACTTGGTGGATATACCGAAAAATATGAACTCGTTAATCCGACAAATTCATAATGCGATAAATGAAGACAATATAAATAAGTGATTTTTCTCTCCTTTTCTCGATCTTAGATACCAATTAAACATTGTAAACATACAAAATTACGATTTATTTGTACATATGTCACAAGGGTGAAGTATGTGTTTGCTTTTCAATAATATTAAATCTCGAAATCCAATGTTTCAACTTTGATCACTTTTTTATACTTATTACATAATGGTCGGCTAAAAATATTTCTTTATCTTTTGCATAATTAACATCTATATATCATTTCATTAAATATTTTTCAGATAGATTATTCAAAATTCACAGAAATAAATACTTTCGAAATAACGTTGACCCTTTTTTAATCCATGAATTTGAAAATATAGTGTATTGTGTAATTAGCATGCATAGAAAGTTATCTTATTTTTTAAAACCTTGATTTGAACCATTTTTAGATATTACTTTCACGCACAATGTTTGTTTTTATGTTCTTTGTAATTTGAATTTTGAAGACAAATTTTTCTTGTATTCAATTGAGGTAAAAATTTTATTGCTGACGTATTACAAAAACTATGGAAACTACTTCCACAAAATTGAAAAATCAATGCGACAGCTACAAATAAAATACTTTCAGATCAATGTATCAAGATCAAATATACTAAATTAATTTAAAAATGTTATATTCTTTATCGCAATGGAAGGAAATAAGACAACAGTACTCCAGTAAAAATACATTTATTTTATATTGATTGTTTTCTCCATCACTGTGCATATGGACATAATCTAAAAAAATTGTGCTTTTGCACATAAAGACAGATATAAAATATCATAGAAGAGCCTATGGTTAAGACGAAATTGAATGTTTACTGATTTTTAATCAGTATAATGTAAGTACGATGCTTTCTCTTTACACAGTTTTTATCTAGATTATCCATTTCTATAAAAGAAGTAATGCATTTGGAATGTTAAGTTCATAAATAACTTAAATCTTTTAAAAACTCCATGTTTTCCTAAGGCTGCAAGTGGGCTGCGATGTATAATCGCGAAGTATTACTTCGAAGACATTTTGTTATTGATATTCGGAGTTCCTGTTCTTCATAATCTGATCGCAGCTATATAAGTAGCAAAAATGTAACTGATTGGTAAAATCTTAGAATTGTTGATTTTATCAACCAATAAATTATGTTTGATATTTAGTATTTGAACCTGCTAATATTTTTTTCGCAAAATTAGTTTACACCTCGATAACAGCAATTGTTAAAAATTCTGGACTGAAGACATAATAAAACATTTGGGCATACTTTTAGATAGTCAAAGAGTGAAATTAAAGACTACTTTATGTACGTCATTGTAATATAATTGTTCGAACAGTGATTTTAAAAGACGTTCATTGTTGTTTGATTTTTAACATCACAGTTGCAATAAGACTAATTATTTAAACTATAACAAAATGGGATGTTGAATATAGACTAATAGATTTTCCTATAACAAAAAATATTATCTCCAGTAGCTTTTATATCGCGAAGAAATATATCTGTTAGGGAAAAAGCGATTTAATCATATTCTCCATTAACCAAATAATATAATGAAAACTTTCACTAATGATTATATTCTATTTATGTATAGTAATTTGAATTCTAGCTGGAATAAAGTTGTTTTCATGAACTCAGCAAATTTTTTAAAGAAAAAAAGTAAATTAAACAAATTACTAAAATAATTATAATTTTTTGCAATACTTCCAGATTTCTGACTATAATAATCGTCTCTTTGAAATACTTAAACTTTACATTGCATAACAATCATTTTCATTTCGATGTGCTACACTTGTTTTTAAACCATAATCTTCAGTAATTTAATATACTCTGGAATGCACATATCATTATTATGTAAAATTGGAGTATTTTTGAAATCTAACCTAAATGATTTTGCGGTCCAGCGCAATATAAACCTTCACTGTCAGAATGCTAACATTTTGAGAATACCAAATTGTTTTCTTGCTTGTCACTTTACCGTCTGAAGTCAATTCCTTGAAAAAAATCATACAATTCAATTATTGCACTATGGTAGGTCCTTTAAAAACTTTTCCCTTTGCTATATTTTCTAAATTTTCTCCAGCATAAGACAACAATGGTGAAATTTCAACATCACCACTAACGCATTCAGCACCAGCATCAAGAAGCCACTTTTTGTGAAGTGCGAAAACGTCTTGGCGAGCAGTAGTAGGGCAATCCTGCCCAGATGAATCTGCATTTTTCAGAGCACTGAACTCATATTCACGAACTACTTCCCAAGCCACAAATTTTCTTGCAAAACGAAAGACATCAAATACGAATTTCTCTATTTTTATCCCATTTACAACGTTTGGAAGAACTCTGATGCCATTTTCATCAACGTATGGAATCTTTTTCTTTGCAACATGTAAATCTAATTTTCCTTCATGAATGTCTCCAACGGCACGAAGGAACTCCACAGTGAAGTAGTGATTGCATATGTTTCCTGCATTTAATACCAGGTTTCCGTCTGATCGGCGCCGTTCTGCCATCTTTTTTGTAATTTCACTATATTCAACCACCTTATATTCGTTATCCACCTGAAATCAACATTCTTTCATTATTGTCACTCAATATAGATAATTATTTTTTCGACTATTGTATATTATTATAAATATTCTGTACACCACTCAGCAATTACTTCATTAAATTGAAAATATACATTGGAAGTGAATGTAAATTAACATATAAACTTGTAGTGTTATTTGTGCTACATTTGATTCGTATTCTATTTAGGGTAGTTAAGCCGTTTCACTAAACCCATGCCAAGTAAATGAAATGTCCGGAAGATAAAATAAAAATATTAATAAATATGACAAAATTAGAATATTTTTATTGCACCAAATTTGAAATAGTTAAAAATAAAGTAGCTAATTTTCAAGTGGTTAGATTGTAATATTTAGAAAATAAGTGAGTTAATATTACTCTTCTAAAAGAACTGTAATATTTCTACAAAAAACAATTAGGCGTTATATTCTATTATTCTTTATCATCTCATTACATGTTTAAAGTTTTTATCCATGTCGGTTATGGTTTGTAGTTAAATATAACAATATAAAATTTTGTATGTCTCGCTTATACAATATCATTTGCTACCGCTGACAATGCACGTCACCTTATCACTATCTACCACCATGCCTAATAATTCAACTGTCAACATTCAATAATGTCAGGGCAAGAGACTACATCAAATCGAACACCAAAAACAGTTTGCGCCATATATAAACCATACTCTCATTTATAGTTATATTAATGAGCTTCTGTACCAGTTTGGACCAGAAAAGCTGAGTAAACACACTCGTAGGGTATTATCTGCATCTGACTTTCTGGTTTTTGTGAATAATTGACGCATTATTGCATCTTGAGTGTGTAAGATGCCATTTAGATAATTTTTAAAAATAGATTTCAACATACAAAATTACTTGTCTCGCCAGCCCTACGATGAAACTTCATGTGTAAGACGCCAACTTTGATTATAATTATTTTGAAAATGGTAGACAAACGTTCTAGAAAACTTGATGCCATGTCAAAACATCGAAAACTATTGTATGCAACTTTCAACCACGTTATACTACGTATTTAGATAAAAGTAAAAAATGGGGTAACAAGTAATGACTGATAGCGATGAAACGTTATTGCATTTCCCTTTGCTTATACAGGGTGATTTTTTTTAACTACAGAAACAAAAATATTTCAAAAAATAAGCTTTGTAGAAAAAATTGTTTCAGACAAAAATTATTCGTGGTGGAGGGGAACATAAAATGACGTTTTTGATTAGATTGTAGATGGCTCCTTTATTGCTGATAATGGGGTGAAATTAATTTTGTTACGGGAACTCTCATTTTTTATTACAGATTGCTATTCTACGTGTAAAAATAAGTAACTTTTAATTGATATATTTTTTCTCATATCATGCATTTTTTTATAGCTATGCGGGTTTCAAGTTCAAAACAAGTCGGGATGCTTGATTAACCCTTTCGCTACGGACGCAGACTATAGTCGGCGGCCGCGAGACCACCTACGCTGACTTCGTTGGTAACACAAAATCTACTACTTTGTTAATATGTAAATTTCTGAATATCCACAATATACTCATTTTTATGTTTTTCTATATAATAAAACGAAACAGTTACATAACTCTTAAAAAAGTATACATACAAGACAATTCCAAAGTGCCATTGAAAGACGTAAGCGCAGTGCCCCGTTCAGTGGCGCTACTCCCGCGGAACGGACTGCCGTAGCGAAAGGGTTAAAGTGGGTCCCCTCGGCTCTCACTAATCGGATTGCTTGATTAGAGTGAGTCCGGTCGCCATCACTTCGAGTATTTAATTAATTGAATTAATTAAGAAACCTAAATAGTAAGAGGCGAGGGACTCACTATACCAAGTACCCCGAATAGGGAGAAGCGAGGGGAATCATTCTAAACAAGCATCAAGCATCCCGAGGACTGCCGTAGCGAACGAAACAGTTACATAACTCTTAAAAAAGTATACATACAAGACAATTCCAAAGTGCCATTGAAAGACGTAAGCGCAGTGCCCCGTTCAGTGGCGCTACTCCCGCGGAACGGACTGCCGTAGCGAAAGGGTTAAAGTGGGTCCCCTCGGCTCTCACTAATCGGATTGCTTGATTAGAGTGAGTCCGGTCGCCATCACTTCGAGTATTTAATTAATTGAATTAATTAAGAAACCTAAATAGTAAGAGGCGAGGGACTCACTATACCAAGTACCCCGAATAGGGAGAAGCGAGGGGAATCATTCTAAACAAGCATCAAGCATCCCGACCTGTTTGGAACTTGAAACCTGCATAACTGTAAAAAAATGCAAGATTTGAAAAAAATATATCAAATAAAAGTTACTTATTTTACACGTAAATTAACAATCTGCAATAAAAAAATGGGAGGTTCCCGTTAAAAAAACGAACTTCGCCCCATTTTCACCGACAAACGAGCTATCTACAATCAAATCAAAAACGCCATTTTAAGTCCCACTTCAAACGAATAATTTTTCTCTGAAACAATTTTTTCTACGAAGCTTATTTTCTGAATTATTTCGGTTTCTCGAGATAAAAAAATCATTCTGTATACAGCTGACAATATAAGAATGTCTTAAATACTGATAATGATCATCCAAATTCGTCAGCGTACCACTTCATAGATTACTGAAAATTTCTACAAACTGTCACATAAATTTGCATTGTCACAAAACACGTAACGCGACAGGATAGACCCCTGGAGTTCCCGGTTCAAATCCGGGCTGTAGCAGAATTTTTTCACGATCCCTAAAAAAAATTCGTTTCGTCTATTCCTAGGCTGTTGAGTGACTCCCACCCGAGTCCTAGCCTAACAATCTCTAACGAGATTGAAAATTAAATATTGGTCACTAAAAAGACGACACTTCACAACAACAATTCAAAATTAAATTAATATGGCCAAAAATTTTCATAGATCTTAAAAAATAATGTAAGTTTGTCTATAAACATACAAAGGACCGAACGGAAGGATCGTGAAATTATTCTGTTAGAGCCACGGTGGCGAAACTGGTAACGCGACAGGATAGATCCCTGGAGTTCCCGGTTCAAATCCGGGCTGTGGCAGAATTTTTTCACGATCCCTAAAAAAAAACTCGTTTCGTCTATTCCTAGGCTGTTGAGTGACTCCCACCCGAGTCCTAGCCTAACAATCTCTAACGAGATTGAAAAATTAATATTGGTCACTAAAAAGACGACACTTCACAACAACAATTAAAAATTGTCACAAAATTTAGTTGACTCACCAGACATACTTGAATTAGTATGGAATGTATATTAAAGAAATAAGACCAAATATACCTGACAAACAACTCCCACTGCCTCAGTAGGCGATGATTTTTTCACGACCTTGACTCCACAGTCGGCTGAATGTGATAGGCAATAACCCAAGAAGACAGGATCTGCTACTTTCACCAAGATGTTGTCCACAGAATGTGCATGAACGCTACGAATGCCACGCTTTTCCATATCATTCAATATTCCTTGAACCTTTAGTGCTCTGTATACCCCACCGTTACCATCTGGAGCTCTGGATAGTTTATATTTTTCGTCCAAAATAATTTGACCGTTAAATGTAAAACATGGTAACATTCCTTGTTCGAATGTTACAACGTTTTCTTCTTTCAGACCAAAAAATTTGTTTTCACGAAAGTAATCCAATGTTGGTTTCTGTGTGGCTTCACTTGTGAGCACATACCTGAAACAGTATCATTATTTCAATTTCCATTACATCATTTAATAAATAACCAGGAATATAAAACATTTGCTGTAAAAAAATTCATTGAAGCAGATGCACTTATAAAAATAGTTTTTCAAATAAAATATTAAGAATGATCTTATATATGATAATATACATTCATGCAGTACAATTAATCATTGTTTTAAGGTTCGATGATTGAAAATGTTGTCGAATTCTTCAATATTGAAATACAATAAGGAATAAATTGTATTACACCTGATTTATCTTGTTTTGTTGAAACAATTGTATATGTGCTTGTTTATTTTATGTACAGCCCATAAAAATATTGTAAATAGCTTACCAGGTAATTTCCCCAGATTTGCCAAATGCTTGTTCTGCAATTTCTTGTAATCTTCTAATTCTTTCTGCTTGTAAATGTAACAGGGTTTTATGCGATGGCAAACCAACGTCATATATTCCTTTTGGGTAATTTACACCTAATCGTGTACCCTGTCCACCAGCCATAAGAAGAACAGCAACACGACCATTTGCAATTTCTTCTAAGCCTAACTGCATATACTGATGCAGCTTTTCGGCAGTAGAGGTTGAAAATGAATCAATAGCATCATCTGGGATTGGACAAAGTCTTTCTTCAAAATTCTTTTGAATATCCTTTGAAGATGATGTTGCTTTCTTGAAGTATGAAGTGACCTCAGAGAAATTCACTTCAGAAATATCCTTCAAAATAATTTTTTTCTCCTCCATAGAGAGCTCAGTCCAAAATTGGAGTAGGTGTTCCTGGCCATAACGCTGAAGAACGAACTGAGCAGATTCCTCGTCCATGTTCTAAGTTTACTTCCAAAACAAATGTGAAATTTTACGATACTTTGCCTTGTCAATTGGGAGATCGCGAATCACAGAGTGGTATATTGAGAATGTGAGGAAACACGGAGCAAGCTGGTAAGAACAGTTTGACATTTCGAGTTTCTAACCCTACCACGGTGCTTTTCTCGATTGCTATTGGCGGCAATCGTTCAGTAATCATTCACTTTCACTGACGTTCACCTCAGTCAGACGCGATTGCCAATGTACAGAAGTTAGCTTGCCACGTCTTTCGTTCTTTTTTTTCATTCCCGTCCATGTCACTGCCACATACCTGCATTCCATTGCTATACACTGCTATACACTAGTTCACTTTCGTTGCTTATAGATCGCTAAGCCGGGATACATGATAATAGGTACTTGTAGACCTTATGAAATCTGCAAAATTATTTGTTTTACAAATAGAACGCCTTCTGATATTCTTTATGGCTCTACTAAGTACGAGCATTATCTGAACAATCGTATAATGATAGGTACACATTATATAATGATATAATTACGCAGGGATCCAAATAATTCTATGAAACTGTGCATTAAATCTTTTCTTTCGTTAATCTCTCATCTTTTCTAGATGAATGAAGACACAGTGTATTAACAGTAAATTTCGTGACATTCCTTTAAAAGATTAACCTCCAGGCAACGGGGATTTTTTTGAATGTTTCGAAGTCATACTTTGGGGATCTTTTCCTATGTGAAGTTCTTAAAAGGTCTAATGGTACGTGTCGACCAGCAAGTAGCACATATATATATGTATATGTATGTATATGTGCCATGCCGGCCGCGGGGGGCAATGGAAAATTTTTGTTACAAATATCGACACTTGGGAGGTTTCTGGGGGGGGTTGAGTGGTTACCTGGAACAGCATTGGTTTATATTTATTTATTTAGAAAATAGTGAAATTACCTCTATAGGATCCGAACAACTCCTTTTTTCACAATCCTTCTTTACTGCGTACTAGTATCATGGGTTCTACACTTTATCTTTATATTTGAACGGAAATTTCTCGCTCTTTTCATTTCCAGCATAAAAAATATGGGATCCCATTTGAAAATCTGAAGTTAACTTCCAAATGACTTTGAAGGTTATGGTCAAGGTCGAATCCAAGGTAACTGTTGATGAGCCACAGAACAATCCTAAAACTTTTGTATGAAACATTTTCTTGTCAAATGCATCCCAGGCTGCAAAGAAGGGGTGGAAAAATAGGAGTTGTTTGGCTCCTACGGGATTGTTTTATTCTTTTTAGGGGGTGGATCTACTTATATACACTTTAGATATATTAGGTGTATATACTGAATGATTTTATACATACATATTAACTTTAAGTTTAGATAAATTTTATTCAGTCAAAATTGATGACACCAAAACGTGCCATCCCGGCCGCCTGGAGGTTAAAGTAAACAAACTACACGTTGGGTACAGTTAAGGCCGAAGCACATAAAATTCCATCAGATATAAGCAGAATGCAGATACATAGCGCATGCGCTCTTCAAAATGTTGAGTTAGCAGTACGCGTGCGCTATGTCTTCTGCATTTTGCTTATGGCTTATGGAATTTCAACCCACATAAAAGTCCATAGTCCATAGGGCCATTATAGGCATAAAGTGGCATCAACAGACTGCAATAAACGCAAACAAGAAGTGAATAGCATCGAAATATTCTACAAAAAATTGGGTAAGTTCAACAAAAAGTTTTAAAACATGAGATATTTCACTATCTAACGTTGAATCTAAATTTATCAAAATTCAATCTAACTAACTTCAATCTCAAAATACTACGTTGCAGAATGGAAAGAATTTATTCTATTACTTGTATGTAGTCATCGACATTATAGAAGCTTTTGTTAGATTCAGCGTTAGATAGTGATAATTATCATGTTTTAAAACTTTTTGTTGAACTTACCCAATTTTTTGTAGAATATTTCGATGCTATTCACTTTTTGTTCGCGTTTATTGCAGTCTGTTGATGCCACTTTATGCCTATAATGTTCCTATGGACTATGGACTTTTATGTGGGTTCAAAGTCCATAGGCCGTAAGCAGAATTCAGAAGACATAGCGCACGCGCACTGCTAACTCTACATTTTGAAGAGCGCATGCGCTATGTATCTGCATTCTGCTTATGGCTTATGGAATTTTATGTGCTCCGGCCTTTATAGTAATGTGGTGGATACAGAATGTTTAATTTAACTTGAATACCCTAAATTTTTCCGTTACTTTGATGATGGCAAGAAAAGTCTAAAAGAAGAATTTGTTTGATTCGAAACAGCCGATAAATTGATAGAAAAATCATTTTCCTGAAGCTCATATCTTTAGAGATTTTAAGGTTATCAATGATTTGTTAAATAGGACCATATATTCTTTATGTCACACAATTGTTTTTACCATTAAAATCAATTCAACGACCTAATATATTATGACATTCAGACAACCTTGAATGTAAATATTCATGTTTAAACCAATTTCAACACATGTACGAATATTATAATAAATTGTATGATCAACGTTGGATTAGGCAGTGTACAGACAATCCTGCTTATTCGCCTGATCTAACGTTACTTTTTTTTTTGTAGGTATCTCTAAAAGATCATGTTGTGTAGTTAGGAAGATTCCGGGTAGCGATTTGACCGTACTCTTCGCTGTCCACCTGCTATATCTGGCTGTTAGTTTTAGCTTCGTATTAATACATACCTCTAACTTTAAGTTGTATTTACAATTGTAGCAATTCACGTATTTCAAACCGATTTTAAACGATTATTTAGATATAAGTGGATCCGTTTTCTAAATTACATAAAATCGGATAAAGAGGTATACGAACAAAATTCGTTAGTTTTCTAAAGGACACTGCAATATGCACCTATGGTTGCTGGACTAAGCGGAAGTATAATCTTAAGGTGGTTTGATGACGATAAGTACAATAGTAATAGGCAATCACGGGTACAATAGGCAATAAAGAAATAAAAACATTTTCTATTAAAAAATAAGTGAGTGAAAATCTAATAACAAACATTTGAGTCAATAACCGTTACAATCTATGCCGTATCAAAATGAAGATATTGAATTTTAAAGTTACTCATTTTTATAGCTTAATATATCTATTTTAGGTACTATAAGGTAAATCGTGTACAAATTTTTCATAGACAAAGATTTAGTTACGGTCTAATATATACAAAAAATTCAAAATTTTATCTTTGATAAGGTTTTATCATTAAACCACTTTAAGGTATTCGGAGTGCGAAGGTGTGTGTTTGGTGGATGCGTATTCAGGGTCCCTAATATTCTTGAACTTATAAAGTCATACTGTCACGAGTCGATTTTAGGTTTTTGTTAAACTCTGTGATGCATGAAATATGTGAAAATCTGTGTTGCTGATATTTTGATAACAGGGATAGCACAGTTAACCGTGTATGTATGTACAGTTGCGGCAAATAATGGTCGGGTACTGGGAGCTGCACCCCCACTCCTTTAGTCAATCACAAAATGATTTTCGATCCCGATGACAACCTTTTTTTTAAAATATTTTATATAAGCTTAAAATAAAGTTTGGGCAACCGAGAAATTTTGAAAGAGAGGAACCTTGAAAAATAGTATAGGCCGATCGTAGTATAGGTCTACTGGGAACCCGCTACGTTAAATAATGGGAACGCATCGACTGCGGCACCTCTTGGGTGATGTGGAAGACCGCAGGTTGTCGTTGTTTATGCCTTTATTGTAATAAGATAAATAGATTAATTGGATATACTCTTTAACCTGTTAATCCTATTTGCAAAAGCACATTTTTTTTTGTAAAAAGAAAGTGCTCTCCATAGAGGGGTCTCGAACCATAGACCTCCCGATTCGTAACCGGGTGCGCACTAACCAGACGCCAAAAACACGTGTATGTTTTACTTGTTTCGGAAGTTGTATTTCTAGAATTTCATCCTTTATTCAACTGCTTACTATTATCGTTTCGCTTACTTTACATATAAGCAGAATAATATGAAGATGCACACCAGTTAAGAACTTTCGCGCCACCCTTCTCCACGTGGACGAACAATTACAGACAGAAATAATGCTCATTTCCATATTTGCTTCTCAAGATTATTGATTCCAGGTAATGAAGTGAGCTAATTATTTTCTCATAGTAAATCTTATTGAGTTTACACTGGGCGCTGCAACTGAGGATTGCAAATAAAAAAGTGTTTATAAGATTATAAGAACCAGCGGCAGCAGTAACAGCAATAGCAGACCCCTCAGCGAGAGAGAATCCGCAATCGCTCAGGTCGCGCGGCACGAGCGGGCATTTAAAATGTTAGTCGATTCTGTCATAGATAAAATTTAAAAAAATATATATAAACTTAAAATAAAGTTTGGGTAACCTAGAAAGATTAAAAGAGAGGAATCTTGAACAATTTTTGTAGTAAAATAAAAAAAAAAAGAAGAAAAAAGAGTTCTTCATGGGGGATCGAACCCGTAACCAGCAGCGGTATATCTTGACAGGTTATTGACTCAGCCACGATGCTCGTTTAATTCTAAATTAAATTTTGTATAGATATTTATCTATGATATTTCAAAATTTCTCTTTGAACTGTTCTCGGTCGTTTCATTTACCAACGAATTTCGCCAATTATTTTCTAATGTTCATTTTCGGCATGATAAGAGGTAAAGAGTGAAAACCAATATTTCTATGCATTTTTTATAACTTTGAAATTTATTTGAATATACACATTTGTTTGCGCATTACGTCCATACAAACGTTTAGGGTTCGGTTGGACGGAAGACCTTGCTGTTCCGCCTGTTTGTCAAGAACGGTTTGTGAGGGGCGGCAACTTGTTCCCCACCACCGAGCAATCCATTCATTTCGCTGACTGCAATATCGGCTGGAACGATGATCATGACCC